AAGGACTGTTTGCTGGATGAACTGTTTCCTTGTCTGCAACCCAAGCCCCTTGGATTCTTTCCCAAGATTAGAGCCGGGACCTGAGCTTATCTCAGAAACACAGAGTCAATATTCATTGAACAAATGAATGAGGGAGGAAGAGGCCAGCTGTGTCCATTGCTAGGACAGATCAAATGCTCCTGGGCTTTTCCCATTTGGAATGGAAATTTCCCCAAGACAGTCACTGATTCCTGACTTTCTAGCTTCCCAATCCTTGCTCCTACCTCCCCACCCCTACCCCACCCCGGTTGTCTGCCCCCAACTGCCACCAGCCAACTCTCAGCAACAACTTTGTCCTGGAAGCTCCATCCCTGGGCCTGGCCTTTCTTGGAATCTTCCTCCCTCTTCTCTTCTCTGCTTACTACCCCCACTTCCTTCCCTCAAGCCTCTCACTCACCCAACTCCACTCTCCCCTCATACCACCATCATTCAGAGACTCCTGGGCTCCTGCCCTCCACATCTCTGGCTCCTTCTCCTCAGCTCCCTCATCTTGGAGTTCCCAGAACTCCTCCCCTCTTCCCACTCTTTCTTTCACGAAGCCCACCCACCCACTCGAGCTCAAGCCACTTTGGGGTTGACTATTCCCCAGGCTCTGCATCTTTTCTAAGTAGCCTTCCCAGTGTCCCTAGACTTTGTTGATTCCTAGCTCCCACTCCAGCCTAGACCCTGGCCCCACCCTCTGTCCAGGTCACTGCCTGGCCTGCACCTAAGGTTCACCATCCCAGGGTGGAACCCAAATAAATGAATGTTATGGGAATAATAATGAAGCTGAGACACAAAGAGGTGAAATAACTTGCCCAGGCCGGATGCGGTGGCTCACGCCTGTAATCCCAGCACTTTGGGAGGCCAAGGCAGGCAGATCACCTGAGGTCAGGAGTTCGAGACCATCCTGATCAACATGGTGAAACCCCATCTCTACTAAAATATAAAAATTAGCTGGGCATGGTGGCATGTGGCTGTAATCCCAGCTACTCGGGAGGCTGAGGCAGGAGAATTGCTTGAACTCAGGAAGTGGAGTTTTGCAGTGACCTGAGATTGCGCTATTGCACTCCAGCCTGGACAACAAGAGCACAACTCCGTCTCAAAAAAGTAAAAATAAAAGATAGGCCGGGCGTGGTGGCTCATGCCTGTAATCTCAGCACTTTGGGAGGCCAAGGCTGGCAAACCACAAGGTCAGAAGATAGAGACCATCCTGGCCAACTCGGTGAAACCCCGTCTCTACTAAAATACAAAAAATTAGTCAGGCGTGGTGGCACGCGCCTGTAGTCCCAGCTACTCAGGAGACTGAGGCAGGGGAATCGCTTGAACCCAGGAGGTGGAGGTTTCAGTGAGCCAAGATCGCACAACTGCACTCCAGCCTGGTGACAGAGCAAGACTCTGTCTCAAAAAAAAAAAAAAAAAAAAAAAAGAAAGAAAAAACTAAAACATAAATAAATAAATAAATGACTTGCCCAGCATAACAGAGCTAGTAAATGGTAGAGCCAGGACATATACCCGGATGGTCTGGCTCTGGAGTCTGCACCTTCCATGCTATTCGGCCTCACAAAGGGAAGCTTGGAAAGGAATTTACCTGTGGGTCACAATTTCGACTCCTGGAAGAGTAAGCAAAGGGTCACAGCTCTCGGAGGTCAGCTGGGACAGTCATCTGGGACTCTCTACAGGGGCTCAGGTGGGCTATGAGCAGAGGCCCTGTCCCCTGCCCTTGCTCTCACTCTCCCCTAGCCCCCATCCCAGGCAGTTGAGAAGACTGGTCTCAGACTCGAAGCTAGATGCAAGGTGGGTCGTATATGTCCTGCTTGGCACAGTGGGGCACCGTACAGGGAATAAAAACCAGCCTCTGTCTTCTAACATACATCGGTCTCACTGTGGTCACAAGTCAAAGTTCCTTCTGTCCAAACGGTCTGCCTCTCCAGCAAGGACACTTTGAATGGCCTCCCATGATGGGTTGGAGCTGGTTTTCCCACTTCTTCAGCCAGCTGCAACACCAATTACCATGGTGTTTAACTCCTCCAGTGCCCCTCTCTGAATGACCCTATTGCCCAGCAGCCTTGGGGACTAGGCAGGGCTAAAATAAAAATATTGCATAAGTTATACAGTCCTTCCCCTCCCTGCTCTGCCTTCTAAAAGGAAAACTGTTAGCCAGGGGTAGTTCTTGGCTTACAGGTTCTGCGTGGTGCACCAGCAGCCAAGGGCAGGCTAGATTGTTCTACATAAGAAAAACAGATCTGGGAGGAGGGCACAAGGACTGGAGGAGAAGTGATGGGGAGGAGAAATGAGAAAAAATGGCAGAGAATGAGGAGCTGCAAAGGAGTAGCTGAGGGGTGGTTCTCAGAAGGGAAGAGGATTTGGTGGAGGGTGTGGGGTCTTTTTTTTTTGAGATGGAGTCTCACTCTGTCCCCAGGCTGGAGTACAGTAGTGCAATCTTGGCTCACTGCAGTCTCCGCCTCCTGGGTTCTAGCAATTCTCCTGCCTCAGCCTCCCAAGTAGCTGGGACTACAGGCACCCGCCACCACGCCCAGCTAATTTTTGTATTTTTAGTAGAGATGGGGTTTCACCATGTTGGACAGGATGGTCTCAATCTCCTGACTTCATGATTCACCTGCCTTGGTCTCCCAAAGTGTTACGATTACAGATATGAGCCACCGCGCCTGGCTGGGTGTGGGGTCTTGTGTGCCACCATTCCCCTTTGCTGCTTCCTCCAGGGACCTTCGGTAAAGATGCCTTTCCAAGGCTTTTTAAGGCTTGGATCTGTGTTTGACATGCCTCCTTATGAGATGGCCTCAAGGCAGCTCTCCGGGTACCCACAGGTCAGAACGATGGGCCTGAGAGCGCAGGAGTGGAACATGGCAGGAACAGTCTGTCATGAGACCGATCAGTAGGCTTCCAGTGGTGGGACCTCCATGTAGCAGCCTCCTGGTGGCCCTGAGGCTCTCAAGCTGCTGGCTCCTCCATTTAGAGTGAAGCAATGTTGAACAACTGTTTCCCCTCACTTAGGGTCCTGGTGGAGGTACCCCAGGTACAGAGGATACTCTAAGGTTGAAAGAGCCACACTTGAAGAGGTGGATGAAGGAGAAGTGGATCTGGGGCTCATCCTAGCCTTGAATGCTCTGGCCCTACCCAGCTGTTTTCCTGGCCACCCCCTTCCACACACCCAGGTCCCACCCCACCCCACCTATCCCCCATTTAATTGAAACTCACTGTTGCTTTACAGGCAATTTTTTTCTTTTCTTTTCTTTTCTTTTCTTTTCTTTTCTTTTCTTTTCTTTTCTTTTCTGAGACAGAGTCTTGCTTTGTTATCCAGACTGGAATGCAGTGGTGCAATCTCAGTTCACCACAACCTCCACCTCCCAGGTTCAAGTGATTCCTGTGCCTCAGCCTCTGGTGTAGCTGGGACTATAGGCGCCTGCCACTACGCCCAGCTAATTTTTGTATTTTTTAGTAGAGATGAGGTTTTGCCATGTTGGCCAGGCTGGTCTCAAACTCCTGGCCTCAAGTGATCTGCCTGCCTTGGCCTCCCAAACTGCTGGGATTACAGGTATGAGCTACCACGCCCGGCCCCTCAGCTCATTTCTAACTCTGGGTTTTGTACACATCACCCCATGCCTTCTACTGGGAGTAGCTCCAGAGCTGCTTCACTCTCTGCTTTTTGAATTCCTCCTGGCTCAAGCTGATCCCTTCTTTTCTTTTTTTATTTTCTTGTTTTTTGGTTTTTTTTTTTTGAGACAGGGTCTCACTCCATCGCCCAGGCTGGAATGCAGTGATGCGATCTCGGTTCACGGCAACCTCTGCCTCCCAGGTTCAAGCGATTCTCTTGCCTCAGCCTCCCAAGTAGCTGGGATTACAAGCGCCAGCCACCACGCCCAGCTAATTTTTGTATTTTCGGTAGAGACAGGGTTTCACTGTGTTGGCCAGGCTGTTCTCAAACTCCTGACCTCAAGTGATCCACCTGCTTTAGCCTCCCAAAGTACTGGGATTACAGACATGAGCCACCACTCCCGATTTATTTTAATTTTTTTAGAGACAGGGTCTCCATCTGTCGCTCAGGCTGGAATGCACTGGTGTGATCCTAGCTCACTGTAACTTTGAACTCAGCACCTCAGTCTCCTGAGTAGTTAGTACTACAGTCAGACACCACCACACTAGGCTATTTAAAATTTTTTTTTTGGTAGAAACAGGGTCTTACTGTGTTGCCCAGGCTGGTCTCAAACTCCAGGGCTCAAGCATTCCTCCTTCCTCGGCCTCCCAAATTGCTTAGATTACAGGCATGAGCCACTGCACTTGGCCCCCTGCCTCTTCTAAGAAACTTCCCCTGATTATTCCCTCCATTGGCCTCCCACTGCCTGGAGCATCTGGCCAACTCTTGCCCTTGTCTGGAGGCTGGCTGAGGCACAGCTCCCATTTTCTCGGCTTTCACACATGCAAGGCCATGTGTCCTCTGCTCCGGCCCCCTGCCTGTCTGCCCAGGGCAAATCCGAGCACAAGGCTGGCCCAGCTGGATATGTATGGAGCATTCCTGGGTTGCACTAAAGTGTTCCCCACTTCTGCTTGCCAAGTTTCCACTCAGCCCTCGACATCTGGCTCAGATGCTCCCTCCTCAGAGAGCTCTTTCCTGACTCCTCGGACTGGGTCATGGACACCCTCTGTGTACCCCCTCCCTGCAGCCATGCTTCCCTCTGTCACAACCCTAATGTTGCTGTGCCAGTCTGTACTTCCAGCAGTTGGGAACCTGTATGGACCAGGGCTAGGACGGGTTCTTCTAGGGCCCCAGAACCAACTCAAGCCTGAGCACAAGGTGTCAGTAAAGGCTTGCTAAATAAATGGAATATCACTCCTCTCCAGAGAGCTCATAGTCATCCCCCAAAACCCAGCTCAAATGCCCCTTCCCAGAAGCTCTCACTTCCCCCTCTCGTCTTCCCTCACCCGCTTCATTGGTGACTCAAAGCATGGAACATACCCCTTGATGATAGTACACGTCACACTGTATTTTTGTGAGCACCTTAATGTGGTTTCCCCAGCTCTCTATGGCTGACTAGGACCTCTCAAGTGCCAGGCCCAGGTCTGTCCATCTCCATGCCCACAGGGCCTGGGCCAGAGAAGGGGCTGAAGAAATAGTTTTTGGTGAGCTTCTGGGTCCTGTGAGGGATCTTACTCCATGCCCAGCTGAGCTGAGCTCTAATTCTCTGCATGGTTTGGGGTTGGTGGGGCTCCTGGTGCCCTGGACACAATGGCAAACATGAAGGCTGCCCAGGCCCTGGAGGACTTAGCGACCCTGCCTCTGCCATTTGGCTGTGAGTTTCTGTAGGAGCTCATGTGGTCGTCGGCGGAACTTCTTCTGGGTGAAGTAGAAGAGGATGGGGTCCAGCACGCTGTTGGCGCTGGCGAACGGCCGTGTGCCTTTATAGGCCGCCGCAAAGGCCTCCAACACAGAGCAGGGGACGCCTGGCGTTGAGCGCACTGCCAGGTAGGCTGTCTTGGTGATGTGGAAAGGCAGGAAGCTGATGGCAAAGGCAGCGGCCACCACCACCGCCATGCGGGCTGCCTTGCCACGCCGCTCCTGGGCCACAGGCTCTGCTGGGCCATCCTGGCGGCACAAGCGGCGGGCCAGGAGACAGTAGCAGGCCAGCAGGGCAGCAAAGGGCAGCAGGAAGCCGATGACAGTGAGAGCCATACCATAGGGCATATAGCGGGTGGCCAGGGCAGGCGGGCTGAGGTCATAGCAGACGGTGCGGTTACGCTGGATGCCTGTGGCAGCAAAGACGGCTGTGGGCAGGGACTGGGTTGTCACAGCCAGCCACACGGCTACACACACTAGCCAGGCGGCCCGGCGGCCCCCACGTTTGTGCCAGGGGGCCAGCGGGTGGCAGATGCCCAGGTAGCGCTGGAAGCTGATGCAGGTGAGGAAGAGGATGCTGCCATGCAGATTGGCATAGAAGAGGAAGCGGACCAGGCGGCAGGCGAAGTCGCCAAAGGGCCAGTGGTCACCTTGGGCATAGTTGTAGATGAGCAGGGGCAGGGAGCAGGCATACAGTAGGTCGGCCAGGGCGAGGTTTAGGGTATACACAGCCGTGCGAGTCAGGGCCCTGCGGGACGTGCAGATCTGGGTAATGACACAGACGTTCAGCGGCAGGCCAGCCGCCAGCACCGCCGAATACACAGGTGGCAGCAGCAGTCGCTTGAAGTTCTCGCGGTAGACACAGGTGGTGGGTGGCAAGCCCAGAGCCTGTCCTGTGCCATTGTCCCACTCCATGGCTGCTCAGGTGAGTTTCCTATGTTCAGGGAGGCTGGGAAAGCAATACACAGCCTGTCAGTGACATGCTCACTCACCACCCAGCAGGCCCTGCCCCTCCTCGGGCCCTGATCTCCCTGTCTGAACAGTGAGGGCACCAACTTTGTCAACTCTGCTACTCTAACCACCCCATGAAGCCCCACAGAGCCCTCACTTAGAGAAAATTTGTGATACAATGAAACTCACGCTTGGGAACAATCTGATTCATTTTGTGTGTGTGTGTGTATGTATATATGTGTGTGTATATATATATATATTTTTTTTTTTTCCTTCAGCCTTCCTAGTGAACTTCTATTCATTCTTCAAAGCCCTGATCATATGTTTCTTTCTCTGTTAGTGGAGATTGATGGACTTGGGTTTGAATCCCAACTCTGTTATGTATTTGCTATGCGACCTTGAGGTGATGATTTCATTTCACCTAAGAAAAGGGGGAACGTGGCGCCTGCCTCTCAGGGATGTCAAGAGGTTAGAAGCACTAAATTATGCTGTGCAGGGCTGCCAGGGGCTCCCTGAGGTGTGGAGACTCTGGTCATGGTGGATCCGCATGTCTCTCACAGACTGGGACCTGCCTGAGGAGTGGGGCCAGGTCCGGTGTCTCTCTGGTCTTAGTCCAGGGTGTGGGGCAGAAAGGGCCCTGATAACTCTTAGTTAACCAGTATGAAGGGTCCACACACCAGGGGCTCACTGAGGACCGCACCCATCTCCTCAGCCTGAACTCCACCTTTCAAAGCCGTGGTTCTTCTGGCAGAGGTCTTGTTATCTGTAAAATAGGGGAAGGAGGTGATACCCAGTTCCCCAAGGCCTGGTTCCACTTGAGGCTACAAAGGCAGGTTTGGCAGAGCCTCTGACAACACAGCGCCCGCTAGTGCCCAGAGTGAAAACAGCGTCCCTGAAGGCGGATGGGTGAGGGACCAAGTCATCTGTTTACTTTACAGATATGGAAATCCAGGCACAGTGAGGGGCAGGGACTGCTCCTTTCTTCGTAAGTCAGAGCAGAGTCAGAACCAGAACCCAACTGCCCAGTCCAGAAAAGGCAGCTTAGTGTAGCCCACAGACATGGGATGTAGAGTTTACATGACCAACTTCAGAGCTAGGCAGGCCTGGGTTTAAATGTTGCTCCCCCACTTCCGTGCTGTGTGAAACAGGTCATGTCACAGTGTCCTCATAAGTGATGTGGCCAGCGTCCTCATCAGTGAAATGTGTGGTGATGACATTCAGTAGTGCTCAATAAATGCCATGCTATTGCATTCTACATCTTGTCCCTCCTCTCATTCTTTCGGGCTGGGTTTTGGGAGAGCCAGCAGCACAAATACCCTAAGGGGTTCCCTGATGGGGTAAGTCTGACTGCTAGACACTCACCTCTAAACTGACATTGCCATATTACTGGTGTCTAGAGAAAATTTACAACTAAAATCCAATGGGCCTTTGAGATAATGAATCTAATCCTCCTCTTTTCCCATTTTACACACGGGAAAAATTGAGGCCCAGAAAAAATATGAAGTCCTGCAAATGCACTCAGTGGGTGGTAAAGGGTTCAGGCAAAGTATACGGGCTCTGGTCCAGATGCTTAGGTTCAAGTCCCAGCTATGCCACGGATGAGCTATGTGGTCTTGGGCATACTAGTTAACCTCTGTCCTCCAGATTCCCCATCTGTAAAATGAGATGAGATAGTACCTGCCTTATAAGATTGTTGTGAAGATCAGTGCGTGGCATGGGGCCAAGTGTTTTCTGTTCTTAATATACCTACTAAGTAAGGTTATGGGATTTTAAAAAGTTATATTAGAGAAAAATACATTCTTCCCAACTTACAATTTCATTTTGGCGAAGCTATTTTACCCCAATTCTGGGCAAAATGATAATGTTGGATTCTCTATCTGCAGCCCACATCCCATGTCACCCTCAGTTACCAAAGATGCTTTGTGGGGCTTTAGACCGTATGCTAGGAGTGCTGGGTGCCCAGCTAGGACAAGGTAGGAACGACGAGGAGACCAGAGGAAGAAACATAGCAGCCCCCCACAGCAGAGCCACGAAGCCAGGATTAGCACAGGCAGAGAATGTCCGCTCATCTCTTCATTCATTGGTTCGGGCCATTCTCATTCACATGTTCATTCTCTTGTTTCCACATGACAGGGATTCACTGAGTCCTCTCTACCAGCTAGATACATGAGGGCATAGTGTATAGGTGGACATAGAGATATGGGGATACAAATACAGATATGCTAGTCTGATGGAGGAGACCAGTGTGAACCAGCTGGTGGAAGAGACTTTTCAGAGCAGAATGAAAGACAGAGCAAGGCCTGGGTGGTTGACCAGGATTTCCATGGGTGGAGAAGGGTGGGAGGACACTCCGGATGAGGAGGAAGGTTGAGGGATACAGCACCCCTCTACCATGTTCCCCTCCTCACCATAACCCTCTGTTCTTACAGACCGATCTCCTCTCACACAGGGTCTGACAAAGAAATCTGAGGAAAAAGAAAACTGCTGGTTCCGTGGGGCTGGCCTTTGAGACGCAGCCTCTGCCCCTCCCTGACCCCTCTCCTCACACAGGGTCTGAGGAGACCAGTTTGCAAGGGAAGAATGTTGTGGTGAGGAGGAGAACATGTTAGAGGGGTGCTGCATCCCTCAACCTTCCTTTGGGAGGCCTTCACCCTCAGATCCCACCCCCAGGGACAGCCCTCTGTCTCAGATGACTGGGGACTGCAGTTTGCCACTCGCACACCCTGGTGAGACTGATCCTCCTGGGACCCCCTCCCCTCCCTCTTGGAAGGAGGCAGAGGGCTGCAGGAGGGGATCCAGTGCACAGCTCTCTGGGAAAACCTTCAGGGCTGTGTCAGGAAAGACAGGCCTGACCATCACCCCGGCTCCTTTGTCTATTTTCTGAGGACCTAGGAGAGCTGAGCTGTTCTCCCAGCTCCTGGCAGGGGCTGGCCTCAAGGAGGGTGCTCTTGGCTCCCACCTCCAGGCAGCAGCTGACCTTGGCGCTGACATCTGTCACTAGCTCTTGGGTCCTAAGTTCTGGACCAGACCAGACCCCAGCCTCTTCCTGGGCTGGACTCTGCCCATGGTGCGGGGGGCTTGCTAACAAGTGGCTCTGACTACATCCTTCTCTCCAATCCTCTACCCTTTGGGGGAAAGGCCCAAACCCTTTTCCTGACATTCAAGACCCCTGCCAAGCCCTCCAGCCCTATCTGAAGTACACCAGGGCCATTCTGCCCTTGCCCCTTCCTCTTTCGTCACACATTCCCAAGACGTGGAGACTCCCACATAGCCAGTGGCAGCCAGAGAGCCAGACTCCCTCTCCAGCCTCCCCATCTCCACTGTTCCCTTCACACAAAGTGCCATCCAGCTAATCTCCATTTATCAAAACCCTAAGTATCTATCTAGCTCCAGATCTCACCTTGCTTCTTCCTTTTCTTATCCCCCCAGCTGGGTGGAATCCCTTCCTCTGGGCCTCCTAACTCTGTGGGCCTCCTTTAAGTCAATGCTGAACCCAGCCTTCCTGCCCAAAGTCACAGTTCCTTGTGTCCACCCGCCCCCCACCCCCCACAACCCCTGCACTGGCCCATGGCCCCAAGATGCACTGACACTCACAGGCAGCCTCCTGTCCCTGCAGCACGCTGGTGGTCCCAAGTGTGTTGGGGCAAAGGGAAGCCAGACCTGAGGCTCCCCACTCTCCTGCCCTCAGCTAGGCTGCAGCTCATCTGGCAGGGTGAGCAGCTTCCTCCGTTTCCTGGCAGGACTGTCTCTGACTAAAAGAGTTTCTGTGGGGGCCACCGGCTCCCTGCCACCCCCAACACCACGCCTAGCGCCTGGCGGAAACTGGGCTTAGAGGAGCAAGGAGGTGGAAAAAAGGCGTCCTTCCCGGAACACTCCTCTACCCCAGCAGGGGAAAGAGGGGGATGGGGCAGAGGAGGAGGGGTAGGGGAGAACCAGAGGCTGTCAGCCCCATAGAACCAGCAATTTTCTTTCTGCTCAGCCGTCTCTCAGTCTTCGCAGCTGTCAAATGGGTAGGGCAGTGATTAGAGAGCTGGTGGCTCCTCCTTTAGTTGTAACACTCAGAGTCACGGGGTGTCCATTCCTCCTCCCAGCCATTCACTCCCCCATCTAGCCTTCCTTCCCTCATTCAATAGCTCACTCACCAGCATGGCCATCTACCCATCCCTCCGTGTGGCAATCCACCTATGTACATACTTACTCAGCCCCCTTCTCCCTCCCTCCTTCCCTCTTCTCTTTTTCTCCACACACATGTATCGAGTACCTACTATGTGTCACCAGATCCTCCTATGTTCCCCCATTTCACAGCGACTGCTTCTTCCACACAGCAGGTGCAGGGCGCATAAGGAGTGATGGACATGGGCTGTGGAGATAGATGTGATGCCCCTGAGGACCCAGTTGCCTGTGCCACATCCTCCCCATCCCCTCCTCACCACCAAACTGGCCTCAGAGCTGTTAGGAGACCAGAGCAGGAGATGTGGCTCCTCATTGTCCCGGAGAGGCCAGATCCAGAGTGGGAAGCAGCATTCCAAGAGGGCGACCTGGAGGAGGTGGGCTTTGATTTGGAGCAGCTGAGGTAGCAAGGCGAGTGGCAGGGGAGGATTGTGTGGGGAAAGAATGCTGCCCTGGGAGTTTGAGGCCCAGGTTCTTACTCCGCCTTTGCCCCTAGTCACTGACTAGATAAGCCCCTTCCCTTCTCTGAGCCTCCTGGGTAGAATATGGTCATACTGACCACCAGTGTGCTGGGAGGATGAAGTGCCACTCAGGGCAGCTCATCTTCTACCCTGGGAGGTGCAGAGGAGACTCTTAGAGCCTAGAGCATCAGAGCTGAAGGTGCCCTTAAAGGCACCAATCTCACCCCAAAGCCATTTTTACAGGCAAGGGGATTGAGGAACAGAGTGGGAACCCAAAGTTTGGATCACACTGAGAAAAATCAGGTTTGAACTTCTGATGAACACTTGGTCAGTTGTGCACAGACTGAGCACCTACTGCTTGCTCAGACCTGTGCTAAGAGGTCACTTCTGCCAGCTGAGTGTGGACCTCCTGGTTGGATTTGACCTGTGCTGTGGCCCAGGAGAGCAAGGTGGCCTTCAGCTCAGCAGCCAGTCCTTTGCTGGGTCCTTGGGACAACCTCCCACAGCCACTCCCAGCAGGATGGGTCACTGTCCCAGGAATGGGAACAGATCTGAGGGCTCCTGGGAGGTGTTGTCCCCAAGGCAGGGCTTGGGTAAGAAGCCTAAGTGGTCTCAGTCCCTGCAACCTGGATGGATGGGAAACACAAAGCTGTCCCTATCATGTCTTATCCGCCCAGACGTGCAGATCTGGAGACCCCTAATCCCACCGCTCCGCTCAGATAAGGGCACTTGGACTAACCTCAGAGGGGAAGAAAAGGCTCATGGGGTCCCACTTGACAGATGGAGAAAGAAACTAAGGCCAGCTGCCCCTTCCCCACCCTCTTCTCAGGGGTTCAAGGGCATACAAGAGGCCTGGCCTGGCACCTCAACAACCACTGAATACCCATTACCCACTGGCCTTTTAGTTCTTTGCCTTCCTAACGGAGTCTAGGTTTGAGGGCTCTCAGGACCTTGGAACTATGGCATCCTAGGGCTTGGGACTTCAAAGAATTTAAGGATGACTGAATCGGAGCCAAGGAACTGCCCTGCTCTCACCGGGCCTTAGCTTTGCCCATGGACCTGGCTAGGCCTAGAGGAGGGGACGGGGCCTGGGAGGGAGCACTCAGGTCTGAGGGGTCATGGGTGCACCTGGGAGGGAGTAACCTGTAAAGCTCATGGAGAAAGCATATCCACTGCTGGGCACTAAAGGACCAGAGGGACCTGGACACATAACAAGGCTGAAGAGGGCATCACAGGCAGGAGGTCCACTGTGGGCAAAGGCACAGAAGTGGGGAATGAGCTTAACCTCTGTGAGAAATTAATAAATATAAAAGCCAGAGCAATGGATGAGCTCTGCAAAGAGGGGGCTTCAGATGGGAGGCCTGAGAGGGGCTGGCCCATCACAAAACCTCCAACGTGGAGCCTTCTTTTGGCAGAGATCCTCCCTCCTTGGCCTCTCAAAGTATTGGGATTACAGGCATGCACCACTATGCCCGGCCACGGCCAGTCTCTCTCCCTCTTCCCCCCCCCTTCCTCCCTCCCTCCCTCCCTCCCTCCCTCCCTCCCTCCCTCCCTTCCTTCCTTCCTTCCTTCCTTCCTTCCTTCCTTCCTTCCTTCCTCTCTCTTTCTTTCTTTCTTCTTTCTTTTTCTTTTCTTTTCTTTTTTCTTGAGATGGAGTTTCACTCTTGTTGCCCAGGTTGGAGTACAATGGCACGATCTTGGCTCACCGCAACCTCTACCTCCCAGGTTCAAGCGATTCTCCTGCCTCAGCCTCCCAAGTAGCTGGGATGTACAGGCATGTGCTACCATACCAGGCTAATTTTGTACTTTTAGTAGAGATGGGGTTTCTCCATGTTGGTTAGGCTGGTCTTGAACTCCTGACCTCAGGTAATCCACCTGCCTCGGCCTCCCAAAGTGCTGGGATTACAGGCGTGAGCCACCGTGTCTGGCCAGTGTTGTTTCTTAAATGTCTATTCTGTGCCAGATGTTTTATCTGCAGTCCTGGGCAATTTGGTGGGGGGTGGATTATTCCCTCCCCTTTACATATGAAGAAACTAAGACTCAGGAAGGGCCAGTGAGTTTTCCAAGCTATCCCAGCCAGGTGGCATTTCAGTACATTCTTCTTGACTCTAAGGCCCCCTTCTTCATTGTTCCCCCTAAGTTGGAGCTTAGATGCTCAAACCAGGGGATTCCCAGGGGAGTTGGGTCTTCCCTGCATTGAGACCCTGTAGCCATGAGATGGCACCAGCGGACAGCCAGCCCCACTCTGTCACACAGCCAGGGAGGGGTGAGGGCAAGGTTGGTCTGCCCACAGTGGGGGGCCTCCCCTCAGGGCTGGCACTGAGCAGCCTCCGGACTGGGTTTCCGGTCTTATTTCCTCTTGACCCGCTCCCCAACCTTCCTTCCACTCACCCTCCCCAGATGAGCTCAAGCTCTCATTCTCAGGTCCTCACCCTGGTCAGTGTGGTCACAGGAGCCACTGGGGACATGGCAGGGACAACAGGGTCAGCACCAAGCCTTATCTGTCTGAGGTAGAGGCCCTGGCCCCAGGCGTCCACCACCCATCTCCACCCCAGGTACACCTTTGGCAAAACACGGCAGCCCCTCACCTCACAGCAGGGACGGCCTCTTCCAGTTTCCTTTTTTCAGTTGAGGTAACAACCATGGTGTCAGTTCTAGAGCAGGAGCAATTCAGTATGGACATAGGAAGAAATGACAAGGGGCCCAGCCCTTCAGGCTGCTTAGATCCTATGGTCTCAGGATAAACTTTACGTGACCCCAGAGCCTCCCCCATCCCCTGAGGCCTTCATATCTAGCAGGGATGAGGGGATCTGTTGGCCAAAGGCAGGAGCTGGAAGCCTGAGTCACTGTCTGCCAGCCAGCTGAGGCAGGAACCAGCTCAGACCAAGCTGGATGTGGAAGAGGCTTCCTAACCTTGGCCTGCCTGCCTGCTGGGAAATAAAGGCCTGGAAACCCCCTTGCTGGGCCCCTGACCAGTGAGTTAGCAGCAAGGGCACAGGATGCCAAGGGTCAAGAGTTAGCTTCCTTCCCCTAAGGAGTCAGACAGGCTGGGATTGACCACCAAATTGCTGTGTGACCTAGGGTAAGCCACCTACCCTCTCTGAGTCTGGGTAAACAGGGCTACTTATGGTGCCTACCTACCATACAGAGTCACTATACCCTCTGTGCCCCAGTCATCAACCCAATCCTGACTCTGGAACTGCCTCTAGCCTGAGGCAGGGTTGCCCTGGAGCCCACCTGAGGCCAGCTTGAGGCCAGGTTCCTAATGCAAGTGCCTCCCGGGCACCCAGAAGACAGACGGCGGGAAGCATAGTCCTCTCACCTGGAGAAGTTCTGGTCCTACCTGTGGCATCTGGCTGGCTACAGAATGACAAACCTGGCAGAAGGGAACATGGAAGGCAGGGGCTCTGATTTCTCTTCTCCTTTCCCACTTCCCCTTCTCACTTCCCGCTCAACAGGAATTAAATCTAAAACTGAAACAGCCATTTTCAGTGAAAGGAAGAGGAAGCTGCAGCTTTGGGGAATTTGGGGGTTGGGGCTGCTTCCTTTGGTTTCTCTCCAGCCTCTTCAAGCTTAGCAAAGATGGAACTTACATCTCCCAAGACCCCACTATGTATGAGGGGCCCCAGCTGCCCAAGAGTGCACCCAGAAGCCCCACCACAACCTGGACACATGTATTCATTGAGCACTGATGATGAACCAAGCATTGTGCAAAATGCTTAATGTGCCTTGTCTCATTCACTCTTCAGAACTACTATTTCCACTTTACAAATGAGGTGACTGAGGCATCGCAAAGTTAGCAAGAGGTTCTTTCTTGGGAATGTGAATGAAGAGGGTTAGAGACCACGCGGCCCCAGTGGGCACAAGGCTGAGAGGTCAAGGGCAGCCCTGAGACTGAGGAACTGTGGATAGCACAGAGGCCCAGGGAGCAGCTGTGACAGGGCAGCCCCCAGTGAGCAGAGGGACGGCCTGTGGTGTCCAGCCCTTATAAGTCCACGCCTATAGGGCCACCGCACCTTCCACCCAGTGCTCCAGGAGATCCCCAGGGCCTCCTAAGAAACTCTCCCCTGGAGATAGTTGGAGAGGCTCTCTGTGCCTTGCTTGGACCACCAGGCCGTCCCATTTGTTTGTCTCCTTGTGGCAGAGGCTACGTGGTTCTCCCTTCAAGAAGGAACCTGCTGCTTAGCTGCAAGTAGCACAGTTGGCTGATGGCCTCAGTTAGTGCCTTAAGGATCTGCCCATCCTCCCAGATAACCAGGCTTCAGTCTGTGGGGGAACAGATGGCCCAGGTCCAGCCGCCTGGCTAGCCTAGCAGTCATTGTTCAGCCCCTCTGTAGCTTCTTCCCACTCAGTTCCCAGATCCGCTCTTATGATGACGACCCTGCCCTCTGATTTTCCTTTGGGGGATCCCCCTTCTCCCATCTAGAGTCTTGGAGATCTGGGAGTGATGGGTCTGTGATTGAAGCCTGCCAATGAGAGAAGAGTGAGCCCCTCAGGCCTGTAACTGGCTTGGGGTGGAGGAGTGATCTTCATTGCATGCCTCAGAGTCAATTCTGGTGCTTTTAACGGAGCATCGGGAAGGAGACAGGTCTTCCACAGCATTTGCAAAGCTAGTAGAGAGCGAGGCAGGAGCTGCTGGAGCCAAGTGAACTAAGTTCCAGGCACTGTCCTGGGCGATGGAGATACTGCCACCAGGGAGAGACTGTCCACATAGAAAGCCAGGGAATAGCAGAGATGATAGACAGGGATGCATCGTTTCCTGAGAACAGCATTGAGTGCCTGGTTTCAGCTGTGCCTGAGGTTTTACCTTCGGTGTCATGAGCTGATAAACTCCCTTTTTGCCTCAATCCATTTAACCTCGGATTCTGTCACATGAAACTAGGAGTCCTGCCTGTAGATCTGCACCTTGTGCCCAGGAAGAGAGGTGACATTTCCCTACGGGAAAACTGAGGCCAGTGAGGTTAGGAACTTGCCCAAAGTGCACTATAAACCCACCATGACACCCTGTTTCTCAGGAAGAGTAGCCTAAGAAAGGACAAAGAATGGAGGTCAGGGATCAGGGCAGAGAAGACCAGCCAAAGACGCAGTGTCAGACTCCCTTCCTTTCCTTCTCTAACTGTGCTAGGAACTGGGGACAAGGTCTGCTTTGCCTCTGGGGCCTCAGAGACGAGTACAGGCTTTGGCTCCCAAGAGGCACTGGGAAATGTTGGATGATTGGATCCAGTCTATAAAGAAGAGTCCCGGGGCTCTGTCTTTGGTGCTGCCTGGTTCCTTTTTTTTTTTTTTTTTTTAATCTTTGTTTTGGCTGATGTGGAGATTTGTCAAGCAGAATGAAGGTAATGGGTTCAGGAGTAGCACCTCTGAGACTACTTGGGTCCCCCAGTCCCCACCTCAGGAAAGGCAGGCCACCAACCCTGCCAAGTGGCTATTGTGGGTTATGATCCTGCCCATTTCCCAGGCAGACCCTGAGGCCTGAAGGTAGGCAGTTTTGTCCACAACTGGTACAGGTAAGGTTTGGGTGTGGAGGGAGAGCCTCAAGGAACTCCTCCCCTCCCGTGAAAGGCAGCCCCTGCCTTGATTCCTGCTCTGATCGTCCCTAGCTCTTCCTAGGGCCTGAGCCCACCTGGCAGTGATAAGACATCCAGCTGGACCCAGGGGTCAATGACAGGCCTCTGAGTTCCAAACAGTCAAGGCTAGGGAGGCCTTAAGGTCATCCGACCCAGAGGTCTCCCCACCATCCCCCCAGAGAAGGGGGCTCTCTGAAGCCTTCCTGATTGGGCTTATTTGGCCCCTGCCTGCATACTTCCCATTACAGAGAGCTCACTCCTCTCCTAGGCCACTGCATTCCACCTTGAGAAAGCTCACTGGGAGATATGCTTTGTCACACCAAGCCCCGAGATCTGTCCCTAGTGACTGCTCTCCCACACCGGTCCAGCTTGCCCTTGGGGCCATAGAGCTTGGCTGCCCCAGGACACCCTGCAGAGATTGTCCCAAGACCATCCATCTATTGGTCTTCATTCTCACCAGGCAATTTCAGGCACATGTCCAGGCCCCAGGAGACCTAGTGGTGGATCCTCAAAGATGAGGCTGTGGTCTGTGACTGTTTTCAAACCTTAAGACAAAACCCTTTGCTACCCTCTGTCCTGTTTCATTGCCTGCCTGGGGCCTGTAAAGGGGGCATGGTCTCTTCTTTTGGGAGGAGGAAACTAAGCCCCCAACAGCTTAGTTACTTGCCAGGGCCACCAATCCGTCAGTGATCTTCCAATCAGCTGAACTGCCTGCCGCCAAACCCCAAATCTTCACCCTCAAACTGGCCCATTTCTGGCCAGTCCAGTGTGGGAAGAAGAGGGCTTTGTGGGTGTCTGAGGGGTGGCCTGGGAGGAAGAGATCAAAGTCAGGGGCAACTACCTCATTCAAAGTGCAATGTAGGAGGTCAGCAGGCAACAGGTGGCTCCCGCTGTGGAGTGTGCATGAAGAACACAGGACAGGCTGGCTGTGGTGGCTCACACCTGGAATCTAAGCACTTTGGGAGGCCAAGGCGGGAGGATCACTTGAGCCCAGAAGTTCGAGACCAGGCTGGGCAACATAGAGAAAGCCTGTCTCTACCAAAAAATGTTTAAAAATTAACTGGGTGTGTTGGTGTGTGCCTGTAACCCCAGCTACTTGGGAGGCTGAGGTGGGAAAATTGCTTGAGCCTGGAAGGTCGAGGCTGCAGTGAGCTATGATCACACCACTGCATTCCAGCCTGGACTACAGAGCAAGCCCCTGTCTCAAAAAAAGGATGCAGGACAGACCCCCTCAGGTGGTCACTTAAATGACACCTTCTCCATGGGACCTTCTCCTACCACTCCAAGCTAAAATTATAATCTCCTACCCAGCACATGCACACGTGTGATTCCTATGCCCCTTCTCTGCTATATTTTTCTCCTTAGCATTTAAAATCTTTTAATACACTGTTCTACTTATTTATTGGTTATTGTCTCTCTCTCCTGACTGGAACATAAACTCCACCAGGGCAGGGGTTTTCGTGTTTTTTTCACTGCTGCATATACTTAGGACAGTGTCTGGCATAAAGTAGGTGCTCAATAAATATTTATTGAGTGAATGAACAAATAAATTCCGAGGTGGTTCAATTATGTCTACACAGAGAGGACTGACTGCACGGGGGACTTTGCTTGAGGCTGTTCATATAGCAAGCTGTAGTTTGTACTTAAGAGTATGTGTTTTGGCCGGGCGCGGTGGCTCAAGCCTGTAATCTCAGCACTTTGGGAGGCCGAGATGGGTGGATCACGAGGTCAGGAGATCGAGACCATCCTGGCTAACACGGTGAAACCCCGTCTCTACTAAAAAATACAAAAAACTAGCCGGTCGAGGTGGCGGGCGCCTGTAGTCCCAGCTACTCAGGAGGCTGAGGCAGGAGAATGGCGTAAACCCGGGAGGCGGAGCTTGCAGTGAGCTGAGATCCGGCCACTGCACTCCAGCCTGGGTGACAGAGTGAGACTCCGTCTCAAAAAAAAAAAAAAGAGTATGTGTTTATTGGGGATTGGGAGCAAATAGAGATTAAATGTGAGCACCAAAGGCCTTTAAGCCAGCCCTGGGGCTGCTTCTGCCTGGCTGTGTGTGTGAGATTTGGGCTGTGAACAGTCCCAGCTGAGAGGGGTGAATAAGATTTGGCCTGGCAGGGCTGGGCAGCCTGCATCTCCCTCCTGCCCGGTCTGAGGTTTTCTCTGCACTCTTACCTCCCTGCACAGGATCACTCCCTCTGCACTGGGGCCCCGGCCCAGAATCTTTCTGGCTTCTTTCCCTTCCCTTGCCAGCCTAGGCCTCCCTCCCAGGACCCAGGATTCCCATGAACACAACCAATCAATTCGTGTCCTTCATTCATGGTGCCACCAGACTGCTCCGTCCTGCACTGTGGGGCTGAGTAGAGCTGGAGGACATGACTCAATTGAGTGCCTAAGGCCCTGCAGACCCTGTCACTGCCCCACCTGGCTGGGTCCCCAAACTTCTGTCTGTCCTAGGGCATCCTCTCTCCTCTCTCTTCTAAGCCTTGGCCCCATCTTTCTTGTCAGTCCCATACCCTCAACCCTACCAGCCCTCAACTCCTCCTTCAGAGCAGACAGGCTTTCAGAGGGGCTGCCTTCAGTTTTCCACTGCCCAAATAAACCCCATGTCCGCACCTTCTCTCCTCACCCCTCCACAGCGCCGCGGGACCCCAGGTACCGCCTCCTGCCCCCTCTTCAGCACCCTCCCCGTGCTGCATCTGCTTGTTCCTCCCCTCAGCCCAAACACTCTCCACTCCCCACTCTCTCTCTCGTCTGAGCAAAATGTCTTCCTTGACCTCTCGTGCCTCTCCGTCTGTTCCTCTTCCTCCCTGCACAATCAAGCTTCTGGAAGAGTCACCCACAAGCCCTGCCTCTACTTCCTCCCTGTACCCATTTCTCACCCCTTTACAGTCAGGCCCAGGGCAGAGCAAGGAGCCTTTGGGCCCAGCTCCGGGAAGAGCAGTGAGTACTCTGTCTTCTGGGTGAGGCTGGCAAGATGGAACCAAGGAGCGATCGACTGCCTGAGCTCCATCCACAAGGCAATCTCCAAAGTGATCTTGACAACACAGGCCTTGGGGAGAAAACAGGCCACTGAGGGTGACTGGGCTTGACATCCCTGAGCACCACTCAGGGCTGGTGCAGGGCTTGGGGAGGAGAGCCACCTCTCTGGCTTCCAGGAGAGGGCCTGGACTCTGCCTGGAAGGTGGGTGGGGATCAGGGCCAGCAGGGGCACCTCCAGGACGTCTGTTTAGCAGGGGATTAGGGTGGTGACTGGTTGGGATGATACCTTAGCATGGCTCATGACACTGGTTTGAGAAAACATCAATGGTTTCTGTCACAGAATAGGAGGGGTCGTTGCTTATGGAGCAGGTGAGGGTGGGGGTACACGGCTCTCCAGATTACTCCCTGGCACTGCCCCTGGGGACACAAAACGTGAGGATTCCCTCCTGGAACAGGTATGTCCTCAGAGCTCCCCAGAAAACCCGGAGTTCTTCAAGCCCCAGACCATGGAATTAGATCCAAATGCTCAATCCCAGCATTTGTACCCCTGTCACCCATCACTGTTCCCTCTGCAAAGCTTGGCACCCAACAGATATGGGGGTTCCCGTCCTGACTCCACAGCTTATGAGCTGTGATTTTACCTCTCTGAGCCTCAGAGTATAAATACTGTCAACAGTCACAGCATCATTGGGGGCTCAAATGAAATAGTGGATCTAGATCACCTAGCCCAATATCTGGTGCACAGTAAGTATTTGCTCAGTGGGGCTTCTATTATCGCCCATAATTTTATCATAGATCAGCCAAACTCATGAGAAACGACCTCCCTTGCAAGGCTTGCTCCCTTCCTTTCTCCCTCCCTCCCTTCTCCATTCATTCATTCATTCGCCATGCATTTACAAGGAGTCTCACAATGTGCAGGCACCTCTCTGGACTCTGTCCTTTGAGGAGCCCCTGTTAGTGGAAAAGACAGATGAAGATGTACACCCATGGGTCTCTGGGAAGACAAAGGAGGTCTCCAACCCAGTCTGTGGTATCAAGGAAGGCTCCATGGAGGAAATGATTCTTTGGTGCAGTGTGGAAAGGAAAAGGCAGGTGCTCTAGGCAGAGAGACCTGCTGGAGATGTGGGACCTCAGAGTACCTGCATGTGTTTGTGTTTGCAAGTGCTGAGGGGCCCTGCAGGAGGTAAGACCCGTGGGGTCATTAGGTCCAGGCCCAACAGGCCTCAAAATGACAGGCTACACATGTGGCCTCTGCATTGAGGGTGCCAGCTGGAGAAAGTCCTCATTGGGAAACCCCTTTCTAAAGCAGGGCAGAGGCATGATCAAATTTGAGACTTAGAAGGCTGCTAGTTGGACGATAAATTGGTTGTGGTTAGATTCAGAGAAAATAGAGCCTAAAATGGGGTTGTGGCCATGGGATGGGGAGCTCCAGGGACCAGCCTGTGGTAGACTCATGTCAAGGATCTCAAATGATAGGCTCACAGCAGTCTTCCCTGCCCCCTAACAAGCCCTTACAGCCAGAGTACTGGAAAGACAGATGTCCCACACCAGCCCTCAGGCCACAGGTGGAAAACTGAGGTCCAGAGCAGGCAAGAGGATGCTGTAGCCCTGCATGGAGCTTGTGGGCAGCCACCTATCTCTGTGTCCTGTCACCAAGCCTGCTGCTGCAGCCTGGCTCACCTCTCCAGGGGCAGCAAAGGAATGGCTTTGATAGCGGGAGACTTGGAAGAGTAAAAGGATGACTTGCTCCAACTGCCAGACCCATGCAGGCCCTCCTCCATCAGACAGACTGGGGAGGGGAGCCCTTAGAGCTTCCAGAGTTCTCTCCTCTCCTTTGCACCCATTTTGCAGTGAAGGAAACTGAGACCAAGAGAGGAGAGACATTCGGTTCCTGGGATAGCACAACCATCTGGACATGCGATGTCAGCTGTGGGAGACAGAATACCTGGCCCCGAGGCCTGGCCTTGCCCATGGGTAGCTGGATTCACAGTTCCTGAGGACACTCAGCTGGTGAGGGGTGGAGTCTAATGGCACCACCGTCTGGCTTCTGCCTGGCCCTCGTGCCCAGCATCATTCCCAGGAGTCACTTCCCTTCCATCCTAGCCTGTGTCTGTAAGCCATGGCTGAGCAGGATAGAATAGGAAGGAACCGTGTGCCATCTGCTCCAGATCGCTGTGGATGTGGGCTGGTCCCTTCTTGGATGGAGGAGCCTAGGCCCCACCCTGCCCAGGGGAGCCAGATGTCCTCAGCACAGCTCAGCTAGTCTGTGCCCCACTGGCTCTTCCAGGGTGGGCTTGGGTGGTGAAGCCCCACTCTGGTTCTTGGAGTTTACAGACTTGACCTAGCACCCTGAGTGTCTGGTCTATGCTTGACCTGGACTGTACTAGGGCATGAGGATGGGCTGAGGGAGCGGATGCGGATGAGCTGATATAGCAGACACAGTTACCAGCCATTTAGAGTAGTCAGTGCCAAGTGCCTGCTGTCCTCTAATCCCACCTGGAGAGGCCAGCAGGGCAGGACTTGCAATTTCTCTGGTGGAAAAACTGAGGTCCTACTTCATGTCAATCACCAAGCCCTCTTTGTGCTCCATTTTCACATCTCAGACTCCTCTTCTCTCACCCCGTGGCCCCTCCTCTGACCTGGACCACAGCCTCCTCATGCTTTCTGGTTTTCCATCTCCAGGGCCAGTCCAGCCCCTTTCTGTGGCCAGATGGACCCTTGCTCAGCAAAAGTCTGACTTCACTGTTTCTCCTTCTACGCCCTCTCTATGTCTTCCCAGTGCCTGAGGATAAAGGCAAACCCAGTTCCCGTTGACCTCTCCACTCTCAGCTCCCACTCCTGCCCCTTGCACGCGATCTGCTGGGCTCTGATTTACTTTCAGTTCGTGCTCTTCTTTTCCCCCTCGTCAGTGCTGTTTCCACCACTGGATTTCTCTCTCCCCACATCTGTGGTTGGCCAACTCCCATTGTAAACTCAGGGATAGGGGAGGCCCAGGTCCTGCCTACTGGTGCTCAGT